AGTCCACAGAGGTGATCAGGTCCAGACTGGTCCACAGAGGTGATCAGGTCTTTAGTTGTCCTGAGGTCCAGACTGGTCCACAGAGGGGATCAGGTCTTTAGTTGTCCTGACGTCCAGAGTGGTCCACAGAGGGGATCAGGTCTTTAGTTGTCCTGAGGTCCAGACTGGTCCACAGAGGTGATCAGGTCACTAGTTGTCCTGAGGTCCAGACTGGTCCACAGACGTGATCAGGTCTTTAGTTGTCCTGAGGTCCAGACTGGTCCACAGAGGTGATCAGGTCTTTAGTTGTCCTGAGGTCCAGACTGGTCCACAGAGGTGATCAGGTCTTTAGTTGTCTTGAGTTTTCAGTAAAACAGCCAAAAAGTAGCTGGAAACACTTTAATTAGCATAAGCAAGCATAAGAAGCAGAAATTTGACGTATTTAGCGGAAATAAGTTCTAATAGCTACAAAAAAATGTGTATTTAGCTTAAAAAGCCAACCTTAGCTAATAACAGCTAAAATTTTGCAAAATTTGTATCAAATAGCTGAATATAACAGAAAGCAACTTTAAGAACCATAAATAGTACAAATAAAGTAGAAAAAAGCAGAAAAGCAAAAAGGAGCAGAACTATAGCTGTAATAGCAGAAAAACGCTAAAGTTAGCAAAAAAAGTAGCTAAAATTTGCACAAAGAATTTAAAGGAAGCAGAACCAAAGCAAAAAATGTGAAGAGCAGTGAAAATGTATACACAATTTGAAAGGTTTTATAATGGTGAAACATAGTTCCATTCATTTTCAATGGCAAAAAACAGCTAGAAAAGTGAAATAGCTTGAAAAATATAAATAGCTGAAATACCAAAAGTCATAGCACCCTTGGCATGAAAAAGCTGAATGTTTTGATATATGAATTGTTGAAGTAGCACAAGAAAAAATGATCTCAATAATGTGTATGCTGTAAGGCATTCACACTGATAAATCTGATTAAATGTAATTTTTCTGTGTTTGAGTGCAGAAACCCATGAGTGTTGTTAAAGACAGAACTCACCCCACAGTACTCCAGCAGGTTGATGATCTCCTTTTCATACACTGAATTAATGGCATACTGCTTCTCCAGCTCTGTCCAGTTCACTGCTTTACTCAGTACGCCCTGCACACGCACGCACACACACACACACAGTCATGCTAATTTATACTTATTTATCTGACTTATCATCTGGTCATTTAAACTCCAAATATTTCTTATCATCATTACGCAAAAACAAACTAAAGCAAATTACAGGTAACAACAAGAAATGCAGAGTTATAGTTGTTTAAGTCAAACCTTAAAAGGGATCCATGATTAGTTGTAACATTAGACGTTATTTGATAAACACATATTTTAACTGTAAAATAAAGACTGTAAAAATACTGTAGG